CCGGCCGTGCCAGCCGTGCCAGCCGCCGGGCCCTGCGGCTCCAGAGGAAAGGTAAGCCTGGAAAAAATGCACCCACTGTGCCGATGTTTTCAGAGGGAGCTGGTGGGGAAGACTGGCACAGCTTCCCGGTGCCGTGCCAGGTCCTCACTGTGACTGCTGAGCCACAGAGACGAGCTCTGCCCGGTCCCACTAAGGGAACCCTGGTCCACAGCCCACCAGGGAACCGGGACCGGGCTCTGCCCTCACCAAAAGGGCTGTGCCAGGCACCAACAGCTCTGGCTCTTGGCCACAGGATGGCACGATGGGCAGCTGATCCATCACAGCCACATCAGGGTTGGTACCTGCAAGGCAGCTGGGACATGGTGGCACCACACCCAACCTACCCCACAGCCGCCCCCTTGGCCGGGACTTTCTGTAGGACCTACAAAAATCGCAGGAGTGGGCAGCAAGGGCTGGAAAGCCGGAATAGTCCCCACAGGAAGGGGTCAGGAAATCATGGGGGGGATGTGAGGGCAAAGCCATGGAGCTGCAGGGCAGAGTCGGGGGGACAGACGCCTGTCAGCGGCCCCACAGTGGATGGGGGGGCCATGAGGGGGCTCCTGCTGAGTCAGCGGCCGGGAAACTCGTCGTGGAAGGTGGAAGGAAGCAGCCGGCAGGAAGCTGCGTGCAGTGCAGCCTCACCACGGCCCGGGCACGGGTCGGCGCCGGCGTGGGGGCGGCAGGGCAGCCGGTCTGCACTCCCAGCACTGCTTATCCAAGGCTGAGCCTTTCCCGGAGAGCTGGGGCTACTGCCAGACCCTGTGAAGCTCAACCCCAACTCTCTGGGGAAACTGAGGCACAGGAAGCCACTGCAGAGCCCCCCTCGGTCCACATCGCGCTGCCCCGGTGCCCGTGTGCGAGCGCACACACCGCACGTGCCTCCAGGCAGGGCGGGACGATCCTCCCCAACGCCGTCCAGAAGCCAAACGCTGTTTAGGAAGCAGAAGGGCAGGAGGGCCAGCAGCGGTGGGGGCAGCACCCAGCACCGCAACAAATCCCCATGGGGCACCCTGGTCCTCCTTCTGCGGGAGCCGCCGGCTCCGGCTCTGCCTCCATTTCCCCTCGGATTTGTTTTCATCCCAGCCCTGGCTGAGGGAGGACCCGCCAGAGGCGAGTTGAACTTTCGTCTGCATCCTTCACACTCTTGCTTCACCCTCCCAAAATAGCAGTGCCTGCCTGGAAACCTCCCCCGGGGCTGGCAGCACCCCGGGTCCCCCAGGGCACCCCGAACCTTCGGGGGCTCATCCCCAACCCTGAGCTCCAGCGATGGGATGGCAGGGGGATGCCCATGTTCACCCTCGGGGTGCACAGTCACCCCTGCTGGGACAGAGGCCACTGAGCCCCATGTGCTGCCCCCAGGCAGGGGCTGCTCCGAGCCCCCAGCCCCTCTCAGAAAGGGCTTTTCTTGGCCCCTGTGCCCTGCCAAGGGCTCGGGCTAAGCCGTCAGCTGACATTCCTCCGGGAGGCCCCTCCGGGCCTGCGCCTCGGGGCGCCCCCGTGGGAGC